GGTGTGACCCTAGCAAAATGCCCAAGTGAAAGGAACTTTTTCACAGTGTTTGAACCATCTCTATTGATGCATATTGATGGTCCTGAGATGAATTCAGACAAGTGGTTATTGAGTTCTCTGCCTTTTTTAAAAATTCCTTTATTTTGTTTTTCAAGACAAAAATGTAACAGCCATGGCTTTCCAGGAACTCTGGACCAGGCTAGCCTCAAACTCCCAGAGATCCACCTGCCTCTGCTGGGATTAAAAGTGTGAGCCACCTCTGCCTGGCTGTTTTGTTTGTTTTTGTTGTTCCTGGGAATTGAAGGCAAGGCCTATATGCTACGCGAAAACACCACAGCTGAGCCACACTTCAACCTCTGCAGGGTTCTTAGACTGGATTCACAGAACAACAGTATGCTAAAATGCTCTTCCTTTGGGTTCATTCTGTTGAGCCATATTGTCTCTCCAGAGTCTGAGTCTTGGTGATTTTGAGAATTTTGTGGTGTTGGCTTTTTTGTTGGTTTTTTTTTTTTTTTTTTTTTTTTTTTTTTTGGCTTTTTGAGAGCCTCTCCTGGAACTAGCTCTTGTAGACCAGGTTTGTGGTGCTTTACAATACTTTGTGACTTTTTGTCTACTTATGTAGGGTGTGCCTGCAATGGCTAGAAGAGGGTGTTGGGTCTCCTGGAGTGTGCGCGCGCGCTCTCTCTCTCTCTCTCTCTCTCTCTCTCTCTCTCTCTCTCTCTCTCGTGTGGGGGGGGGGGCGGGGGTTTGTCTGCATCACGTGCACTCAGGGCCGGCAGAAGCCAAAGGAAGGAGCCAGCTTCCCTGGAACAGGACTTGAATTGTGAGCCGACATGTGGGTGCTTGGGATCATCAAACCACCCCCTGGAAAAGCAGCCAGTGCTCTATGCACCAAGTCACCTCTCTGGTCCTAAGATTTAGGTTGAGCATGAGCATTTTGCCTGAATGTTGTACTATGTGCCTGTGGAGTAGTCAGGAGAGAGTACTGAATCTCTTGGAGCTAGAGTCACAGCTGGTTGTGAGCTCTCCTTTAAAGAGCAGCAGGGTTTTGTTTATTTTTTTGTAAAGGTGAACCACAATATTAAAGACGGGACAGTGAGATGGCTTAGCAGATAAGGATACTTGCTGCATGCCTGACAAACTAAGTTCAATCCCCAGCACCCATATGGTTGAAAGAAACTGACTTTCACAAGTGTCCTTTGACCTCCTATGTTGTCTACACACACAAATGTAAACTTCACTTGGGAAACAAACAAAAAAATGGCTATAGCCAACTCAGTCCCTGCTTTATCTCTCACTGCATCCAAAGCTCTATAAAATGTCAGATACTCAAAAGCAACTGCTCTGTAAAATTGCTTTGTGGTCTTCTTTTAGGCCCTACAGAGTTTGGATTCCCTGGGAGATGCTATAATGAGTTATTAGCAGAGCAGTCCTTCTGAAAAGCAGGGAGAAGGAGACATCCAGAATACCACCAAGGAAGGGCCTTCATATATTGTACTATTGAAATTAAGGATAGATTTATGCCTTTAAATCCAGCACTCGGGAGGCAGCAACAGACAGATCTCTTAAGACCATCCTGGTTTACAAGAGTTAGCCACTGTCCTTTCAGGACAGGCTCCAAAGCTACAGAGAAAGCCTGTCTTGAAAAAACAAAAATGAGGGTTGGAGAGATGGCTCAGTGGTTAAGAGCATTGCCTGCTCTTCCAAAGGTCCTGAGTTCAATTCCTGGCAACCACATGGTAAATGAGGTCTGGTGCCCTCTTCTGGCCTGCAGACATACACACAGAATATTGGATATATAATAAATAAATAAATATTTAAAAAAAACAAAAAAGATACATAATAAAAAAAATGAAAAATTAGGGCTAGGGGGACTGGAGAGATGTCTCAGAGGTTAAGAGCACTGATTGCTCTTCCAGAGGTCCTGAGTTCAATTCCCAGCAACCACATGGTGGCTCACAACCATCTGTAATGAGATCTGGTGCCCTCTTCTGGCATACAAACATACATGGAATGAATGTTGTATACATAATAAATAAATAAATCTTTAAAAAAAATTAGGGCTAGGCAGTGGTAGCACACACCCCTCTTTAATCCCAGCACTTGGGAGGCAGAGGCAGGTGGGTCTCTAAGTTTGAAGCCTGCCTGGTCTACAGAGGGTCCCAGGACAGGCTTCAAAGTTACGTAGAAACTCTTAAAAAAAAAACCAAAAATGGAAAATTAGGGCTGGGCAGTGGTCGCACATGCTTTTAATCCTAGCACTGAGACCAGCCTGAGCTACAGAGAGTTCTAGGCCAGGCTCCAAAGCTACACAGAGAAACCCTGTCTTGAAAACCCAAAAAAGAAAAATAAAAAATTAGAAAGGGCTTGGACATTATAGGAGTGTGCCTCCATACCTAGCCTGTGCATTGTGGGTATGGAACCTAGGCAAACATTTACCAACTGAGCAACATTCCTAGCCCTCTCCATTCCAGTTTGTGTTGTTTCATCTTTCGGGGGGGGGGGGAGTTACTTTTGTAGATCAGGCTGGCCTTGAACTCAGATCTGCCTGCCTCTAGGTGCTAGGATTAAAGGGGTCTGCCACCGCCGCCTGGCTAATAATCTTTAGCTGTGTGTATGGGTGCCCTCAGAGGCTAGAAGGGTAGCTATGCCACCAGACTTGGGATAAATGCTGAATTGTTACCAAAGTGTGGGGAAGAGGCCTGCCGTGAACACTAGCTCTTCCTGAGTCTCTGCTTCCCCACCTGACCCCATGGGAAAGGAAGCCTTTTGAACTGAGTGTGCTAGGCACTATCTGACACATATTCCCAGTGGTCCTAGGATGTTGGAGATGGAGCCAACTCCTGAGCTGCCTGCAGATCTCCTGCTAATGGGTACTGTTCCCTGTGTTACTTTACTTCACCACATGGTGGCAGCAGTAGGCTCGGTGCAGACTGGAGGAAAAAAAACCCAGACCGCTAGGGCAGACCTTGGTTCTGAAACACTAAACTCAGCAAGCAGATTTCAGGGTGGGACTGTCCTGCCTCAAGCCTTGATGTGACCAGCAGGTGGAACATCATATTAGTAGCCTTTTTCAAGTTGCAGGGTGCAGAGCTAGGCAGGCTGTTGATCCTTGTCCCTTAGGGCAGTGGTGCCTCCCTGAGCCGCAGGCAATAACACTCCCCAACTGAGAAGCAGCTTTGGGGTAGAGGGGACATATGACAGTCCATAAAGCTCTCAAAAGCCAGAGAACCCAAACTCATAGCGGCTCTGGGAACAAACACTGATCTCAGCACTGAGGACATGGAAACAAGGCTCTCTGGAGTTTGCAGGACCAGTTAGCCTGGACTACTCGGTAAGCCGCCCCGGGTCTGTGAGAGGAAAGCAAGGTGGAAACTGGGTGTGGTCCCAGCACTCAGGAAAAAGCAGGTGGGTCTCCGAGTTCCCAGGCCAGTCAGGACTACATAGACATAAATAGAGAAATAAACCACTAGGTGGTCTGGCAAGGTGGCTCAGTGGGTAAAGGTGCTTTCTAACAAGACAGACTAAGTTCTATCCCTGGGACCCATTTGGTAAAATAACCAATTCCATGATTGGTGGTGATGGCACACTCTGATCCCAGCACTTAGGAGGCTGAGGCAGGTGCATCTCTGAATTTGAGGCCAGCCTGGTCTACAGAGTGAGTTCCATGACAGCCAGGGCTACTTAAAGAAACCTGTCTTGGGGGAGGAAAAAAAGAAGTGGATGTTACCAAGACTGGCTTCTGGCTTCCACGTTCACACACTCCCCCCACCTCCCTCACTGGCCTCCACGTTCACACACACACACACCTCCCTCACTGGCCTCCACGTTCACACACACACACACCTCCCTCACTGGCCTCCACGTTCACACACACACACACACCTTCACTGGCCTCCATGTTCACACATACCTCCATCCCCCTCCCAACACACATATAGAGGCAGGTTGGGTGTCTATCCAGCTGTTTGTGACACTGCTCTTTCATTCCATCTGCTGTCTTTGTGCCATCCACCATGCCCCTTACCTTGTTTGTCCTATGGGATTCTGTTGCTCTAGTCTCCTTGTCTGCCTGATCCCCACTCGGACACTGGAGGGTGCTGAAAGGGCTCTGCTTGTCTGTGTCTCTGCATATCTGTCTTTCTGGTCCTCTCCTGACCTGTGTGACTCTCTCCCTCCCCTCTTGGTGTGTGTGTCTGTGTGTGTGTGTTCGTTCTGTGGGTCCCTCCTGCACGGCTCTCCTTCTGTCCTCCCCACTTCTGTGTGCATGTGAACTCTGAGGTTGACATTGCTCCTCTTCTCCGTGCTTCTTGGGGCCTGTGTGAGTCCTGGGCTTTCTGTGTTTCTGTGCCTGTCTCTCACTTCCCATTTCTCCTGTGTCTGTTTCTGTTTCTTTTTTAAACCCCCGTCCCATGTGTGTGTTTTGTGTACATGTATATCAGAACAACTAGCAGGTATCAGTCCCCCACCCCGTGTGTGTGTGTGTGTGTGTGTGTGTGTGTGTGTGTGGACAACTAGCAGGTATCCGTCCCCAACCCGAGCGTGTGTGTCAGAGAACAATGAGCAGGTATCTGTCCCCAACCCGAGTGTGTGTGTCAGAGGACAATGAGCAGGTATCCGTCTGCCCTCTCCCACCATGTAGTTCCTGGTGCTAGAATTCAGGGTGTCAGGCTTGGTGGCAAGTGCAGTTACCCAGTGAGCCATCTTGCTGGCCTGTCTTTATGTTTCTTTTTGGTTTTGTTTTTTTAAGACAAGGTCTCACCGTGCAGCATCCCTGGCTGGAACTCACTATGTAGAACAGACGCCTCATACTCTCAGAGATCTGCCTGCTTCTGCCTCCCAGGTACAGGCATTTGAAGGCACACACCACCATGCCCCACTCCTCACTTTCTATCTCTATCTTTCTCTGTCTCTGCCCCGCCCACTCTGTCACTAGCCAGTTGAGCAGTCCGGCTGAGGCGGATGTGCGCGGATGATTCAGTAGTGACAGGAAGCCAACCGCCTTGCCTGCTGCCCGCCAGAGTCTGTGGTGTTGGCATCAGCTTGGGCAGGTGTGCTGGCACAGGATGGGTTGGCCATGGTGAGGAACCCCACTCTCAGGTAAGCATTTCCCAGGGGTGCCCAGCTGAGCAGGTGTTTTCTGCACCATACTGAAGACCCTTAGCTATGGACTGAGCGGTGGCTGAGACATCTGATAGCCCTGGCCTGGTGCTGTGGCCCCTTAGGCCTGTTTCAGGGGCTCCAGATACCTACCTACCTATCATTTTCTTCCCGAACCCCGAGCCTGTGAGACCCCAGGAGGCCCCCAGGGTGGTTCTGGTATTACCAGTGGCTGGGGAAGGCCAGCCAAAACCAAGAGATAAACTCGGTTTCTCCCATCTGTAAAGGGTTAGCTAATAATACCCCAGGCCTGTGGGTGAATCTGGGATGCTCTGGGGAACTGTGCCCAGGCCCTGTCTCAGCCAGGAGGGAGTTGCTGTCCCTCAACCAACCAGTCCTGACCCAACTTAATACCTGTTGACAGATAGCCCCTGTAGAGCTGGCGGGCTCTGTTTGGCTCTGTGAATAGGTAGCCCGGGTTGGCCAGGTTCCTCCAGCCAATCTCCACCACCACCACCACCACCACTGACCTGGAAAAGGGCTCACCAGACCTCTGCACATGGCTATACCCACAAACACATGTACAACTCACCTGGACGTTTGGCCTTCGATAGGTTTTTCAGAGCCCTCTCTCCACCTATTTGAAGCCCCAGGTACTTGGTCCAGCCTGGTGGGGATTGTGGTACACTGCTGTAATCACAGCCCTAGGGATGCTAAGGAGGGAGGACAGTGAGTTCAAGGCCAGCCTGTACTCCGTACTGAGACCCTGTCTCAGAGGAACAAACCACAGACATTCAGCCAAGACCACAGGCCCCAGAGTAGCTCATGAACACAGCTACAGCCATCCCAGGTCTGTGCGATTGGTTGCAATCCTCAGCTAAGCCAACCCTTGTGGCCTCTTGTTCCCTGAAGGGTGAGCCATGGGCAGAGCTATCACTAAGGACCGTTGAGGCTGGAGGCTCCGAGGTTAGAGACCAGCCCTGTGCAAACCTTGTTCATATGAAAACTGCCCACTTCCCTTTGAGCTATTTTGGCCCACAGAACCACAGGGCTGTGGCAGTCCCCGGCACACCCGCAGCCAGCCCTGCTTGGCCCCTTGGGGCCTTGTGTGACTGCAGGCTGCCCCTCCTGCAGCCCCAACCTGTTGTCCCCTCCACCCTCAGCCGGCCTGCTGACATCCCCGGTAGAGAGCGCGTATGAGCACATGGAATGGCGGGAACTCGGGGCCCGCTCTGGACTTCCTTCGGTCACTGCCTCTTTAACTCTGTTTCTTGGTGGCGAAGTACATACCTCTCTGAGCCTCCCGTTTGCCCCTGGGAAGAAAACAGTTGGGCTCAGGCGAATTCCCAACTGAGAAGCAGGTCCCAGACCCTGTCCAGGAAGCGCCCCACGCGCTCGCACCTGCTCTTTTTGTTTTGTTTCTTACTATTTTAACACATTTTTAATTACTGGATGGGTGGATGGATAGACGCGTGCTATGGTGTAGGGCAGAGAACACCTTGCAGGAGTGAGGTCTCACCATTGTGTGGGTCCTGGGAATCAAGCTGAGACTGAGAAAAGCACATTTTTACCCAAGCTAGCTCACCAGCCTCCACTCCGCCTTTTCCTTACCATGTACTGATTATGCATAATGATAGGCTTGTGGCTTTTCCATACATGTAAAGGATGCATCTTGACTATATTCACCCTGTCACCTCTCTTGTCCACCCCATTCTCATTGGTTGCTTGCCCTCTTCCCAACCAACCCCCTTCTGATATCATGGTCTTCTTCCAGTAGGGTGGGGTCTGGTAGTAGCCCGGTGAGTTCCATTAGGTTTGCTTTCAGGATGTGAGGGGTTAACCTACAGGAGCGTGGGCACCTTACCGTGAGGAACTTCTCTCCTCCAGCAACCTTTTTAGTTAACTTTAAAACTTTCATGTAGGGCTGGAGAGATGGCTCAGAGGTTAAGAGCATTGCCTGCTCTTCCAAAGGTCCTGAGTTCAATTCCCAGCAACCACATGGTGGCTCACAACCATCTGTAATGGGGTCTGGTTCCCTCTTCTGGACTGCAGGCATACACACAGACAGAATGTTGTATTGTATAAATAAATATTAAAAAAAAAACAACAAACTTTCATGTAAGTTGGCACATGATGGTGCCCGCTATAATCTCAGCCCTTGGGAGGCAGAGGCAGGCCAGTCTCTTTGAGTTCTGGGCCAGCCTGGACTACACAGTGAGTTTCAGACCTGCCAGGGCTTCACAGTGACTTCCTGTCTCAAAGACAAAATGTATGTGTGTGAGTGTTTTGCTTGCATGTACATGTGTGTACCACATTCATGCCTGGTGCCCACAAAAACAGGGTGAGGGTTGGATGCCCTCCTGCCACGGCCTCTTCAGCAGCTAGGAGAGCAAGCCTGCTCCTCTAGGCCTGTCATCTGCTTCATTAGGTTCTCACAGTCCTCACAAGGTTTAGTCCCTCAGACCCCACTGGGGTCAGTGGAAGGCATCCAGGCTGTGCCTCTCGACATCACCAGCTGGGATACTACATCCCCTCAGTCTTTGCACTGACAGTCCCTTCCCATGACACATGGCCACAACTGTGACTATGACAAGAATCTAGGTGGAAACAACCCACATGACTGACCCTGCTCTACAGTCATCATCTCCATGACAGGCCTCATGTGACATGTGCAGAGGCCACACGTCATTTCCCTGGGTGGCAGGCTTTAGCATAGAGGTGACCTGAGCCACACCACCCCAGGGCTGAGGACTTCTGGAGTCCCGCTCATCCCTGGACAACAGGCCTAGAAGCCAGTTGGCTCTCTGGTAACCAAAGCCTCTTGGACAGAGCATGGTCCTCCTTCCAAAGGCATGGGGTCTTGAAGAGGAAACAAGCCAGCAGGCCAGCTCCTGGGACCGTGAATGCCAATCCAAAAATACGGGCTTGCTCTTGGGGTCCCAAGTGGACTGAGGTGAGCAACCACTGAGTTATAGGGAGCCTGCTTGTGCTATGTCCAAGTGTCCTCATCCTCCTCATTTTTTTTTTTTCCTTGAGAGAGTGTCTTGTAGCCCAAGCTGGCCACTATGTAGCCGAGGATGATCTTGAACTCCTGAGCCTCTGCTTCCCAAGTGCTGGGTTACAGGCATATAGGAGCAAGACACCATGCTCCAATTCTCTTTTCTCCCCACCCTCCTGCTATTACTCTTTCATATTTCCCCCTCTGCCTCCTCTCTGACTCCCCCCTCCGTGTGTGTGTGTGTGTGTGTGTACACATCTCTCCTTTTTTAAAAAAAATATAGATAGGGTTGTGCTTTGTCCCCAGAATTAGCCTTGATCTCCCAGTCCTCCTGGCTTGTTTTTTCTTTCTTTCTTTCTTTTCTTGTTTATTTTGTTTTTGCTTTTCAAGTTAGGGTTTCTTTGTGTAGTTTTGGAGCATGTATGACTGTCCTGGAACTCTCTGTAAACCAGGCTGGCCTTGAACTCACAGAGATCCATCTGCCTCTTCTTCCCAATCCCAGTGCTGGGATTAAAGGCATGTGCCACTACCACCCAAATTTTTTTGTAAAGATTTATATATGAGTGCTCCATCTGCATGCTCGCCCTTATGCTAAAAGAGGTATCATATCCCACTAGAGATGGTTGTGAGCTATCACGTGGTTGCTGGGAATTGAACTCAGGGTCCTCTGGAAAAACAACCAGTGCTCTTAACCACTGAGCCATTTCTCTAACTCCCCTGGTTCTGTTTCATGTAGTGCTAGAATTACGAGGATGTGCCATACGCTCAGTTTATGTCCTTTGATAGACAAAGTCAATGTTCTAACCAAAGGCCACACCCCAGCCCCTCACTGGGGGATTCTAGGCAGGGGCTCTACCACTGAGCCACACCCAGCCCCTCACTGGGGGATTCTAGGCAGGGGCTCTACCACTGAGCTGCGCCTTCTCTAGCTGGAAGTAGGACCGAGTGCAGACAGAGCGGCCACTTTGTCACCATCGCTCCACATGCCCCTGACTGGCTCCCTCAACTGTGTCCCGTCCATGTTCTAAGCTGAGTCTCTTCGTACTTGTGTTAGCTGGTTTCATAAGGGATGGCTGTATTCTACCCACTCACCAGACTATATAGGGCTTCAAGGCTGGGACAGCCACTGCCTTCTCATGGCCCTGGGCTAACTGGGAGTTCACAGCCTCCTCACTGCAGACATCCCCCCCACAGCCCCACCTCCCCCTTTCTCTCACTCTACGGGTACTCAAACCCTGTCCCTCAGCCGGGCACCCATCCCTGAACTATACTGTCTCAGGGTGCCCTCCTCTGAGAGGCATCCTCTAGCTCCCACACTACAGGCAGGATCTGGGTTGGTTGGTTTTTTTGAGACAGGGTTTCTCTGTGTAGCCCCAGCTGTTCTGGAACTCACTCCATAGACCAGGCTGGCCTCCAACTCAGAGCTCCGCCTGCCTCTGCCTCCCGGGTGCTGGGATTAAAGGCATGCGTGCTCTCTTCAGTGCTGAGCCATCTCTTCAGCCCCGCCACCTTATTTTTGTTTTGTTTCTGACATTGGGTCTTAGTCTTTAGCCCAGGCTAACCTGAGACACACTAAGTTGTCTCCGGCTGGCCTGAGGCTACAGGCAATTCTTCGGCCTCCAGCGTTGCTGGGATGGCAGATGCAAGCCCTTGTGCCAGGTCCAGGACTGAGCCTTATGTTTGACTCTTCCCTGTCCATAAAGCAGCTGGGGCCGGGTCCCAGTCTCAGCTTCTCCAGTTGTGAGTTAAGGAGCCTGTCTCTCAGGGCCAGGGGATTGGGAATGAGTGCTTGGGCTTGTCCACAGTTTCTTAGTGCTGCCCAGTGATCTCAGAATCTTCTAGTGCACATGGTCTGGTAGTCAGTGTGTTGGTTAGGGTTGCACAGGAGAGAGATATGGTTGGTCGATCCTGGAGTAAGGACGGCCATAACATTGTTGCTGGAGCCAAGAATCAGAGAGATCAGGAGCTGAAGCCATTGGGTAGGGCAGCAGCTGGGAGCCCCTGGCTCACAGATCTCCAATGCAGCTTTGCAGCCCCCTCCCCAAGCCGACATGAGTGACAAGTTGGAGCTGCTGTGGCCATTGTCAGTACCAATGCTGTTGCTGTTGGGGGCCACAGCCTGGCTGTGTGCCCGCTGCTCCCGCCCAGGTAAGTGTCACACAGGCAGGGAATGATGGGAGTACCATGGAGATTCTGTCCCAGAGGCCTCTGGGGCTGGACCTGGCTGTCACAGAAGGGACAGGAGGATGGGCACCCAGGAACCAGCGCTGGCCCCTACTCAGCCCCTGAAGACACTGGGTGTGGGTGACCAGTTCTAGTGGACCAGGGCGGTTACTTAGGCCAGGAGTTGCTCTGGAGAAGAAAAGGGAGGCCGGCTACCTGTGGCACCCTCTATTTCAAACTGTCTTCCCCTCACAAAAGGGATTAAGTACCTTTCCTTCCTTCCCTCCCTCCTTCCTTCCTTCTCCCTCCCTCCTTCCTTCCTACCCCCTGCCCGAGCCTTCTTCCAGCCTCTCTTCCTCCTTCCTTCCTCTCCCTCTCTCTCCCTCGTTTCTTCTGTCTTCTCTCTGTTTTTTTCTTCCTCCAGCCTTCCTTCCTTCCCTTCCTTTCCTTCCTTCCTTCCTTCCTTCCTTCCTTCCTTCCGCTCAAGCTAGCCTCAAATTGTTCCTATCCTCCTGCCTCTACTTCCTAAGTGGTGGGATCACAGGCATGTGTCACCACACCCGACTGATATTGAACCATCTCAATGACAGGCAGCCACAAGGGACTTTGCCAAGGGCCTAGTGGAATTACAAAGGGGGGGGGGGGTGGTCAGCCCTCAGCTTCCCTCACCACACATCCCAAGTTCAGGGACACTTGCTATGCCATTTCTGTTCTTGCAGGGGTGAAGAGAAATGAGAAAATCTACGAGCAGAGGAACCAGTGAGTTGTCCCAGCTTGGTGTATTTGGGGATCCCCCCAGGGGCCCAGTTTCTGCCCTCACTCATGCCTGTTCCATGGCAGGTTCCAGTGGATGCTTAGCATTCATCGGAGGAAAGAATCCAGGGCTTTCTGAGGGAATGCGCCAACACAGGGCGTGGTAGCGGGGGAGAAGCCTGGACACCAGGCAGAATGGGAGCAGAATCTAAAAACCACTTGAGAGGCACCTCCTGTCACCCCAGATACCCCAGAGCCTGCCTGGGCCACAAGGGAGTTCAAGGCCAGCCTGGCAACTCAACAAAACCTTGCCTCAAAATTTGTGCAGCAAGTAAAAGTGACTGATGCCAAAGTCTGGTGACTTGAGTTTGATCCCTGGAATCCATGGTAGAAGAAGACTAAGGACTCCCAAAAATGTCCTCTGGTCTCCATCTGCTTACTACACCACACACACACACACACACACACACACACACACACACACACACCACACCACCACCACCACCAACAACAACAACAACAACAATAATAAATACAAATAAACTTTTTTAAAGTTGAAAAGCAGGGCTGGAGAGATGGCTCAGTGGTTAAGAGCACTGGATTTGATCCCCAACACCCACATAATGGCTCACAGTCTTTAACTCAGGCTCCAGGAGATCCAATGCCCTCTTCTAACCTCCTCAGGCACCAGGAATGCATGTGGTGGACAGACAAACACGTGGGAAAAATACCCAGTAAAATACCCATGCATATTAAAAAAATAAAAGAACTTTAAAGTGTGTAGGGGGTGGGGAAGAGATTGTGACTCAGCTGTAGAGCATGTACCTAGAGTCCCCAGAGAAGGGCTAAGTATGTGGCTCAGTGGTGCTTGCTGAGTATGCTCAGGGTCCTGAGTTCAATGTCCAACATAAAGTAAAAAGGCAAGGGGCAGGCACAGTCGTACATCCCTTTCATCTCAGCACTCAGGAAGCAGAGGCAGGCGGATCTCTGTGTTCTGAGCTAATCTGGTCGATATAGTCCACAGAGTTCCAGGACAGTAAGGCCTACAGAATGAGACCGCATCGCAAAACAGAAAAAAAGACGAGAGGGGAGGGGACCTGGCTGACCACACTCTCCCAGTCTCTGCTGCATGCACACACTTCCTACACTTACAGCACAGACTTCACGTGCACACCACAACAGGCACTGTCACACACACACAAACACACACACACACACAATCACACACTTCCTCATTTCCTTTTGCAACTGAAAAACCGCAGAGATTTGAAAACAAAATCTTCCATCTCTGACCACCATGGGCCATGGTAAAGCTTACGTGTTTATTTTTCTGTGTTTGAGACAGGGTCTTACTCTGTAGCACTGGCTAGCATAGAACTTGCTCTGGAGCCCAGGCTGGCCTCAAATTCCCAATCACCTTCCTGACTTTAGTGCTGGGAATCCAGCCGCAGGCATCCTGTCACCTTCCCAGGCTCTGCTCCTCCCCCTTCTGTGTTGTGTTCCTTGGCTAGGGCATGTCAAGGTCCCACTCAGCACACCTTTGTGTATTTGCAGGCAAGAAAACGAACAGAGTTTTACCCTGGCTCAGACCTACTCCCGTGAGTCCCTGCTGCTTCCTGGGTTTGGTTTGGGGCTTGGACTTCCCAAATCAAGGTCCCTTCTGTGTCCCTTGCCCTGAGGCCAGCCTGATGTAGTGGGCAAAGGCTCAGCTGGGTGAGTGCCTACCTATACCCTGTTCCTGCTTCCCTCTTAAAGTGGCCAGACCAGTGTGGCCAGGACCCCTGAGGGACACAGCTTTGGACAAGCCATCTGAAAGGTAGGGAGACATTCCGCAGTGCATGATCCTCCCAGGGACCCCCACCTGGCACAGTCAGCCAAGCCTTGTCCCCAAGCTGCAGAACTGTCTTGGTCCTGGCCTGTGGGGGCCCAGGGGACTGTCCCCTCCCCAGAGTGCCGCCTCAGCCCTCCCTTGCCCCATCCTTGCAGGAAGAACAAGCTGCTGTTCTCTCACCTCGAAGGTGAGTTACACCAGGCAGGGCTGAGCCTGACTGGGGATGGGACACTGGGACAAGTACTGGCCTGCCTGGGGTTGATGGAAGGGGCCTGAATAGATAAGGCACACGCTTCTAACAGACTGTGTGCAAAGCTATGACCGTCCAAAGCCCCTAGTCCCTTGCTTGGGCTGCAGAGCCTGGGTTGGGCTGGGGCAGGACCTGGAGGGAAGACAGCTTAGCCTTTCTTCCAGGTCCTGAGTCCCTTAGGTACCAGAACTTCTACAAAGGTGGGTAGCTCTGCGGGGAGGGCATGGGCTACAGCCCGGGAGCTTAGCCCATCTTTAACTCTTCTATCTGGCCTCTTTCAGGCAGCAGTCACGAGCCCGATGAGACCTATGTGTAAGTGGCCCTCATCCAAGCCTGCTCTCTGTACGCCCCAAATTTCTGGGTCTCCCGTCCCAAGCGTCTTTATCTATGAGTCATTTAGTGAAGGCCTTTCAATCTGGTGACCATGGTCACTCAAAGGAGGAGCATCTGGTAGGGTGGGCAGCCATCCTGCCATCTGGTGAAAGGCGAGTTACAAAGCAGTCACCATGGGCTACCTGTCAAGATGTGATTCCCTCCCTCCAAAAATGGGGTGGGGTTCAGTTTGTAGTATCTGGGTTCCATCGCCAGCACTGCGTAAACCTGATGTGGTGGCTCGTGCTATAATAATCCCAGCACAGGGGAAGGAGGTCATCCTGGTCTAGAGAGTTTGAGATCAGTCTGGGACAATAGCATGGGGGAGGGGGGGCAGGTGGCAGTCAGCTATTCAACCACTGAAGGCATTTACTTCACAAGCCCCACAACCCAATTTCCACACCCCCCATCTCCCCACCGCCCCCGGGACCCACATGGTAAAAAGGAAAGAACCAACTCTAAATGTAAACTTGGAAAGAGAGAAGGGAGGAGAGAGATAGATGCATAGATAGACGGAGGGGGCATGCTGGGGTACGGGTCCATCCTCCCAGCCATCCCAGTACTTGGGGGGCTAAGGCAGAAGGATCTGATTCAAGACCACCTCCCAAAAAGAAATGACCCCTAATAGGGTCTCCTCATGTCATAAATGGGGAGAATTTTGGCCCTGGGATGGGTGGGTGGGGACTTGTTGAAGGTGTCCTAGCCAGGCTGACAGTCCCTTAGCCCCAGGGTAGTCAGGGGCTTTGGAAACGTACATAGTGAATGGGAGGGGTGACCCCCTCAGGGCCTTTCCTGATAGCCCCCTCCTGACAGGCCTGCCCAGCAACCTGCACTCTGTTTTCTTGTCCAGAGACCCCATCTCCACAGACTACTACAACTGGGGATGTCCGCAGAAACCCCCAGAAGGTAAGGTGGAAGCTGGGGTGGGGAGGTGCAGAGGAGGAGGCAGCCCCTAGGTCAGGATGGGTCTGCAGAGATGTCGAGAGGTGAAGGGAGGAGGACATGCTACAGGCTGGCCGAGGTGGGTAGGGCGGAAGGAAGCTGGTCAGCACATGCAGGGGATGGGGACAGAGCGCAGAGAGCAAGGGACAGGACAGGAAGCAGAAGTGGAGCCGTGGGTGGGAGCATCTGAGCTCACTTCTCAACCGGGGCTGGGCAGACACAGATGGGCACTGATGACAGATAAGCCCATGCGGGCATGGAGGATGCCGGAGCCTTTGGTCATGGTCACTTCTGCTTTACAGAGAGCAAGGGTGGGGGTGGGGGGGTGGGAATCAGGACAGAGCCTATGGAGAGGAGCCGGGCTCTGGGCGGGTCCTCACCTGGCTCTGTAGCGGGTCCTGGCAGTCTATTGAGGGGTCCTCTTCTTTCCCCCACTCTCTGCCACTTCTCCTCTTCCTCTTCTATTTTTTTAAAACATCTAAAAAAAAAACAATTTGTTTATTGCGTGGGTGTGGGGACACACATGTGGCAGTCTTAGGACGACTTGTGGGAGTCGATGCTGACCTTTAACCATGTGGGTCCTGGGGAAGGAGCTCAGCAAGTGCCTTTGCTTGATCTTTATTCTTTTTTAAAAAAAATTTATTTATTTATTATGTATACAGTGTATGCCTGCACTACAGGCCAGAATAGGGCACTGGAACGCATTATAGATGGTTGTGAGTCACCATGTGGTTGCTGGGACTAGAACTCAGGACCTGTGGAAGAGCAGCCAGTGCTCTTAACCTTTGAGCCATCTCTCCAGCCCCTGATCTTTATTCTGTGAGAAAGGTCTCCTGCCAGGTGTGGTGGCACAGGCCTTTAATCCCAGCACTCAGATCTCTGTGAGTTCGAGGGCAGTCCAGTTTTCACTGCAAGTTCCAGGACAAGCAGGACTACACAGGGGGACATTGTCCCAAAACAGAACAAGATCAACAAGACGGACAACAACAGACACGCACATCTGCACCAGTAGACACACAGAACAAACAACAACAACACCCCCAAAAACATCTGGGCTAAGAGAAGACAAAAGACCCTGAAGCCCAGGGGGAGAGCTTGGTGGGGCTGTGGGGGCAGCAGAAGCGGGAAGGGACATGAGGCTTGCAGGTAGGGCCCACCAGCAGACCCCTGCCAGCTGCCTTCTATTACAGAGGATGACTCCAACTCCTACGAGAATGTGCTCATCTGCAAGCCCAGCGCCCTGGACTCCGGTAAGGCTGTCTCCCCCAAGAAAGGCAGGGCAGGGGCCGGCAGCCCAAGCTAGGCTCACCCTCATGAATAGGAAGTGAGTTCCCAAGACTCAGCTTTGCCTGTGTTCTCCGTGTCTCTGCTACTTTTGGGTCAAGTTCACCCAAAGGAGGAGCTGGCCCCTGGCTCCCTGGACCTACTCAGTGTCCCCATCCCCTCCCTCAGGTGGCGAGGACGCCGAGGATTACCAGAACTCACTATCCATCCGAGAATGGAGAGAATCCAGGAGGACTGTGGGTCTGTCTCCCATGGGCAGAGGCCACCACAAGTGCAGGCTGGGGTGGTGGTGGTGGGATCCACTCCAGCAGGCAGCAGGAGGGTCGGCCTGGGTGGGTTCCCCTCCAGCCAATCAGGCTAGCTTCACAGTGGAGCCTCCATTGTTCACAAGGCCACAGAACTCCCCTTGGCAGCAGCGTGGCCTCCAGAGCTGGTCACCCAGTCTTGAAGCAGGAGAATTTCTGAAAACATAGCAGGGACAGGCTGTGTCACCAAGAGTCCTGTGCAACATGACACCTCCCCTGTGTCATCTGTGGGGTCTTGAGCATGCTGGCTGGGGACCAGCAGTGGTGTGTGTCTGTGAACTGTGAACAACCACCTGTCCTGATCCGTAGGTGCACCCGTGTTCCCATCAGGGAGCCCAGATGAGGAGCCAGATTACGTGAACGGGGATGTGGCTGCTGCCGAGAACATCTAGGGGAGAATCAATCGGAAGAAGGTACCGCACCCTGTGGCTACTCAGAAGTGAAGGGTCCAAGTGCAGGGAGGAGCCTCGGACTCATGACTAGCCCCCTGCGTGCACATCAGCTATTAGGACTAGAAGGGAGATGCTGGGCGATGGTGGCGCACGCCTTTAATCCCAGCACTCGGGAGGCAGAGGTAGGCGGATCTCTGTGAGTTCGAGACCAGCCTGGTCTACAGAGCTAGTTCCAGAACAGGCTCCAAAGCCACAGAGAAACCCTGTCTCAAAAAACCAAAAAAAAAAAAAAAAGGAAGATGCTTACTGAAGTCCACCGGTCCACTTCCTGTGAGACTGGGGGACCCAGAAGAGTTAGGGTTACCCAGGAGATAGGAGGAAGCATATACATGGTCAGGGCACTGGAGATGATTTTTTTTTTGTTATTGTTTTTTTGTTTTTCAAGATAGGGTTTTCCAGCCGGGCGGTGGTGGCGCATGCCTTTAATCCCAGCACTCGGGAGGCAGAGGCAGGTGGATCTCTGTGAGTTCAAGACCAGTCTGGTCTACAGAACTAGTTCCAGGACAGGCTCCAAAGCCACAGAGAAACCCTGTCTCGAAAAACCAAAAAAAAAAAAAAAAAAAGATAGGGTTTTCCAGTAGCTATCTAGTCAGTCCTGGAACTCTGTAGACCAGGCTGGCCTTGAACTCACACACCCGTCATCTGGTGCTGGGGAGGCAGATCTCAGGGCTCACTGACCAGCCAGCCCAGCACAAACAATGAGCTCTACAGGGATAATGGTACAGGAAGATATTCAAAGTTGACATATGGCCTCCCTGTGGACATGCACCTGTACACACAGGTGCACATATCAGACATGCACGCATGTGTGCAGCACACGCACACACACACACACGAATAGATAAAAAGAAAGATGCAAAAAGAAAATAGGAGGCCAGGCCGTGGAGACGCACGCCTTTCATCCCAGCCCTCGGGAGGCAGAGTCAGGTGAATCCCTGTGAGTTCGAGGCCAGCCTGGTCTACAAGAGCTCGTTCCAGGACAGCTAGGACCGTTACATAGGGAAACCCTGTCTCAAAAAAACCATAAAAAGAAAGAAAGAAAGAAAGAAAGAAAGAATCAGATAAACAATAAAACAGATAAGAAAATTCAATATACCAGACATAGTGGTTCACACTTTTAATCCCAGCACTCAGGAGACAGGCAGGCAGATCTCTGAGTTCTAGGACATCCTGGTCTACAGAGTAATACCCTGTCTCAAAAAAAAAATCCCAAAACCAAAAATGTAATATGTTCCCTGGTAAGAAGCCTTGGTGATGAACAACCAGGAGAACGGGGCTGTAACTTGAGATGGGGTGGTGGAGACTAGGATTTTCTTCCTCCTCATTGGGAAGGAAATCCCTAGAACAGCCATAGGGAGGTGGCAGAAGCAAGATACTTGTCTTTAGCAGAGGTCATGGGAGAGGTTGGCGGTCAGCCAGCGCCGGCATTGGATTTATTGACAGACAAGAGGGACAGTGGATCTGGGTCTTGCTCCCTTCTCCCTCCTACCTTCTACCACACTTGGCAAGCTCGTTTTCTCTCTCTCTCTCTCTTTTCACAGTGTTCATAGTAGCTTTGTTTGCAATCCTTACAGGCTTTCTTTTTCTTTTTTTTTTAAAGATTTATTTATTTAGAATAGTGTTCTGTCTGCAGGCCAGAAAAGAGCACCAGTTCTCATCATAGATGGTTGTGAGCCACCATGTAGTTGCTAGGAATTGAACTCAGGACCTTAGGAAGAACAGCCTTAACTGCTGAGCCATCTCTCCAGCCCCCTGGCAAACTTTCCTTTATGTTTTGTTGAGACAAGTTCTTTTTTTCCTCTTTCTTTTTTTTTTTTTTTTTTTTTTTGGTTTTTCGAGACAGGGTTTCTCTGTAGCTTTGGAGCCTGTCCTGGAACTAACGCTTGTAGACCAGGCTGGCCTCGATCTCACAAAGATCTGCCTGCCTCTGCCTCCCGAATGCTGGGATGAAAGGCGTGCACCACCACCGCCTAGCCATGCCTGTCTTTTTATGTGGGTTCTAAAAATTGAATGCAGGTCCTCACGCTTATGTAAGAAGTACTTTACTGACGGAGACACCTCTCCAGGCATCAACCTTTGCCTCCTAACTCTTTTCTCTCTTGAAGGTCCCGAGGGAATTGTGATTTGAAGCATTCATTGCCTGCTGAAGCCTGCTTGCCAGGAACGCTCAAGCTTCAGACCTGGCTGTGGCTGCTCTTGGGAGACGTTCCAGAACACCCTGACACACAGCCTGGGAGACCCTGGGACTCACCAGGGCTGCAACCTCCAAGCAATGCCCTGAACTTTTCTGGGGACAAAGCAGGTGCCTGGGGACATTGGCTGTGCTAACTGGAGGGAAGCTGCGTCCCCAGTACCACATCTAAAACTTGGCACAACAAAATCACTCACATTGGTCTCAAGCTTGCAGTCTTCCAGCCTCAGCCCTAGTGCTGGGATCACAGGGTGTATCACTACCTTGTATCTTTTTTCCTTGTTTGAACCTCAAATTGCTTATGAATGTTGGTTTCTGGTCATGTTACCTGTTTCTATGGTTAACTTCTATTGTTGGAGCCATATTTAATAGTGTCAATGTCAGGGGGACTTCCTGTCTTTCAGAGAGCATTACATGAACTAACTTTAACAGATGAATGAGGTGTAGGGTAACCTTGGGTCTCCTTGTTCTCTTAGTGGGCTCCAGTCTGCTCAGATTTATCGCCCATTCCTGCAGGGACCTTGTGGGTCAGTGATAGGGAAACAAAACTGGTCCTCACCAACCATCAATAAACCACGAGTTCAAGAGCAGGCCCTGCCACATCGGTCTCTGTCTATCGTGTCCACAGGGCTGAGCAGGCCCTGCCACATCTGTCTGTCTATCATGTCCACAGGGCTGAGCAGGCCCTGCCACATCTGTCTGTCTATCATGTCCACAGGGCTGAGCGGCTGCCTCTGTTGCTCTTCATTCTTGGGTTTTTGAAGATAGTCACACTGGGTAGCCCTGGCTGGCCGGGAACTTGCTATATAAATCAGGCTGGCCTTAAGATTTGTATGATTCCACTTCTGGGTACTGGGATTAAAGGCGGCAGCACACCTGGCCTGCGGTTTGAGAACACTGTGGGTATATCACATGTGGGTGCCAGTTGCGTTCTGAAGGAACCAGAGCACTTGGGCCTTCATACAGACCTTTGTCAGCTGCCCTTGAGTGCTGGGAACCCAGCTAGGGTCCTCCGGAACCTAGTTCAGGCTCAACCCTTAGCCACATTGCTCCTGTTTTCTGAGCAAGTATCTGTCATTGAACTTGTAGCTTGCTGATTGGGTAGACTTGCTGGACAGGGAGCCCCAGGTACCCTGTCTCCAATTTGCCAGCACGAGGGACATAGGCGTCCACCATTCAGGTGGCTTTTACTTGGGTGCTATGGATTCAAACTTAGGTTCTCATGCTAACATAGCAATCACTTACCCACCAAGCCATCTCTCTTAGTGTGTGCAGGCATGGTCAGAGGCCAGCTCTGTGACGCTGGGGCTCCTTCCACCTTCAGGAGGGCTCCAGGGACAAAACTCAGGTCAACAGGTTTGTGTGACAGGTCCCTTTACCAGCTAAGCCATCCTGCCAGCACCCTTTTGTCGTGAGTCACACTGTAACCCAGCCTGGCTGGCACTGAACTCAGGGCAATCCTTTGCATCAGCATCACGGGTGCTGGGATTATAGGTCTGTGCCACCACACCAGGCTCTGGTAAAGACCTTTGCCAGAAATGAAGATCACGTGGGTTTTTTTTTTGTTGTTGTTGTTGTTTTTCTTTTGAGACAAGGTTTCTCTGTGTAACAGTCCTGGCTGTCTTGGAACTCATACTGTAGACGAGGCTGGCCTCGAATTCACAGAGATTCACCTGCCTCTGCCTCCTGAATGCTGGGATTAAAGGTGTGCGCCGCCACTGCCACCTGGTTTATGATCAAGGTTCTTACTTAATAGAAAGGACCCTGAAGTCCAAAGAATGGGCTGTGCACTTCATGTCCAGTCCCTTTCCCCAGGACACCACAAGTTCATTCTGAGAGGAAAAATGCTGTAAGTTAGTATATTAGAAGAAACACCTAGAACCCAATTGTTAGACACTGACACAGGAGGCTCTTACGTTTTTTAGGGTGGTCTGGACTCACTTTTTAACAGGGGCTAGTCTGAACTTAGCCCGAGTGCTTGGCATTATGGGTTTGTGGGACTGGGGAGGTGGTTAGGGTGTTCTGGTTATTCTTACAGAGGCCCTGGGTTTAATTCCAAGCACCCATATGGAGGTCTACAAGTATCTGCAACTTCAGTCCCAAGAGACTCAATGCCCTCTTTTGGCCTTCATGGGTACTGCATGCACACAGTGCACAGGTAAAGCACCAACACACACAGACAAATCAACCTTAAAAAAAAAAATCACTAATACACATTAATTTGAAAAATTATGGTGTGTGCTACTGTACTTGGCTTCATTTCTTAAATTTATTTTTATAATTTTACTTATTATTGTGTGTGCATGTATGCAGGGCCTAAATGACATCTTTTATTGAGACAAGTCTATGTAGTTCTTGAGCTTGCAGAGATCCTCCTGCCTGTCTCCAAGCACTGGGACTAAAGGTGTGCGCCACTGCACTCTGCGCACAGAGAACGTCTGTCTCTGTGGTGTCAGCTCTCTTCTGCCTCTCGTGGGCTCTGGAGATGGCATGCAGGTGGTCAGGTGCCAGGCCAGCACTTCACCCGCTGCGCTGTCGCTGGCCGCGGGCACTGTTTCTACTAGCAGGGGACACCAGGTCGAAGCAAGACGCTGGTTTCCTCAAGGCCTCAAGCAGTTAAGCATTACAGGTCAAAATCCTGAGACTGAGGAGGTTGGGGACCTTCCCGACACGCCCCATATCAGGCCTGCAGGTGAATTCAGATAAAAGAGCAGAAGTGGAAACCCTTGAGCTCAGTCACACAGCCGCCAGCGTGCTCAGGTGCCGTCCCCAGCACTCAGGAGGCAGAAGCAGGAGGGTCAGCAGTTCAAGGTTAGGCACAGCAGCAGGGGTTCAAAGCCAGCCTGGGCTACAAGAGACCCTGTTCTCCCAGAACAAAAAACGAAGTGAGCATGTACTATGTCTTGGGCACATCTCCCACGACTGGACAGCTGGACCATCAGTGTCTCAGTGGCAAGGACCCTCCTCATTTCATCTCAACTGGACACTGGAGCCATGGTCTTCTGACACAGCCTGGCCAGGAGCCCAGCCATCTGCAGCAAGGAGTTCACACCTTCCGCCACTTTCATGTGAGTGTATCCAATCTCCTGAAACACAAGTTCAAGGAACCAGTGGGTTAGCCAGGAGTGTGGGCTCCTTTCTATCTAAACTGTGGATGGTTCAAAACCAATGACCTCAAAATGCATCACAGTAAGAGGCCGAACCTGGCTTCCCTCAAGTTTAGCTCATGCTGGAAAAGGGTGTTCCAGGCAAAGGGAGCAAACCCAGGGCTTCCAGCACTGAGCTACAGCCCCAGTCTGCTAGGGTCTCACATAGGCCAGGCCAGTTTTAAAGCCCCTATATAGCTGAGGATAGCCCTGAGCTTCTGAGTCTCTTGCCTCTACCTCCAAGGTATGAAACTATAGGCAGACAAAAGGACACCCAGTTTTTTTGCTGTTGTTGTTTTGAAACAAAGTCTCACTGTGGAGCACTGAGGGTGAGCACACCACACCTAGTCTCACTGCGGAGCACTGAGGGGAGCACCACCATACCTAGTCTCACTGTGGAGCACTGAGGGTGAGCACACCACACCTAGTCTCACTGCGGAGCACTGAGGGTGAGCACACCACACCTAGTCTCACTGTGGAGCACTGAGGGTGAGCACACCACACCTAGTCTCACTGTGGAGCACTGAGGGTGAGCACACCACACCTAGTCTCACTGCGGAGCACTGAGGGTGAGCACACCACACCTAGTCTCACTGCGGAGCACTGAGGGTGAGCACACCACACCTAGTCTCACTGCAGAGCACTGAGGGTGAGCACACCACACCTAGTCTCACTGCGGAGCACTGAGGGTGAGCACACCACACCTAGTCTCACTGTGGAGCACTGAGGGTGAGCACACCACACCTAGTCTCACTGCGGAGCACTGAGGGGAGCACCACCATACCTAGTCTCACTGTGGAGCACTGAGGGTGAGCACACCACACCTAGTCTCACTGCGGAGCACTGAGGGTGAGCACACCACACCTAGTCTCACTGTGGAGCACTGAGGGTGAGCACACCACACCTAGTCTCACTGTGGAGCACTGAGGGTGAGCACACCACACCTAGTCTCACTGTGGAGCACTGAGGGTGAGCACACCACACCTAGTCTCACTGCGGAGCACTGAGGGTGAGCACACCACACCTAGTCTCACTGCGGAGCACTGAGGGTGAGCACACCACACCTAGTCTCACTGCGGAGCACTGAGGGTGAGCACACCACACCTAGTCTCACTGCGGAGCACTGAGGGTGAGCACACCACACCTAGTCTCACTGTGGAGCACTGAGGGTGAGCACACCACACCTAGTCTCACTGCGGAGCACTGAGGGGAGCACACCACACCTAGTCTCACTGTGGAGCACTGAGGGTGAGCACACCACACCTAGTCTCACTGTGGAGCACTGAGGGGAGCACACCACACCTAGTCTCACTGCGGAGCACTGAGGGGAGCACCACCATACCTAGTCTCACTGTGGAGCACTGAGGGGAGTACACCATACCTAGTCTCACTGTGGAGCACTGAGGGTGAGCACACCACACCGAGTCTCACTGTGGAGCACTGAGGGGAGCACCACCACACCTAGCAGCACACATCTTATGCAGGGCTGAAGACCAACCCAGGGCTCTGCACACTTGAGGTATGCACTCTCCCAACTGAGCCACCCCCTGTCAAATTCTTTTTTGTTGTTTTGTTTTTCAAGACAGAGTTTCTCTGTGTAGCCCTGAAACTTGCTTTGTAGACCAGGCTGGCCTCGAACTCAGAGATCCACCTGCCTCTGCCTCCCAAGTGCTGGGATTCAAGGCGTGCATCACCACTGCCCGGCTCTAGTCAAATTCATTAACCAAGGTTAAATGTACACTTGTTTGAGCTGGTGGTCTCACACCTGGGAACCCAACCATGTAGAACAAGAACCTGGCAGCCATGCTAACTCGTGCGTGCCAGCATGCACATTTTAGTTACAAATGCCTTTCCTAGAGAACAAGTGACCACGACACAGCCACACAGCAGAATGCTGCTCAGTGATAAGAGCCAGGCAATGGGCACGCTACAGCAGAGCTGGAGGGCACTATGCACTGAAGAGGCCAATGCACGGTAGTGTGGTAGCGCACGCCTGTAGCCCCAGCTCGTGCTACACTGTAAGGCCTTGTCTAAAAATAAAGCAAGAAGCCACTAGACTCAAAAGGTGGCAAAAGCGCACAAGGTATTCCTGAGCTCTGACTAACCTTGATGAATTCCAGTTTCAAGTATTCGGCCATTGGAAAGGTTTTACACACTCGGAAAATGTTCCCGATGACGTCCTCTGGTGAATAGCCCAGGTGCCACAGGTGAGCAAGAATCTAAATGAAATGGAAGGTAGATTTTTTGATAACGATTTCTAGTTCTTCGCGACTAACAGGTCTATTTAGATCGTTCACCTGGTTTTGGTTTAGCTTTGGTATGTGGCACTTATCTAAAAACACAGGACAGGGAACCCTGATTGCTTTTCGGGCTGAGTGGGGGGGACTTAATTGGGGGAGGGGGAGGGAAATGGGAGGCGGTGGCGGGGAAGAGACAGAAATCTTTAATAAATAAATAAATAAATAAAAAAAGAATCTAGGGGGCTGGAGAGATGGCTCAGTGGTTAAGAGCATTGCCTTCTCTTCCAAAGGTCCTGAGTTCAATTCCCAGCAACCACATGGTGGCTCACAACCATCTGGAATGAGGTCTGGTGCCCCTCTTCTGGCCTGCGGACATACACACAGACAGAACATTGTATACATAATAAATAAATAAGTAAAAAAAAAAAAAGAATCTAAATGAAAGACAAAACAGGCTCTGAACACCGTGACTAGGGAAGGGAGATGGAGTTAGTCCCACAGTGGCCCTAGCCCATCACCATCAGCTTGGCCTGGGTGACCCATGAGGCTCTGAGGAACACCTGAACCTTATGGAGGTGCTGGTGGCCCCATGGATGCCTTGTGTCACCCAGCCCTCTGATCACGCAGGTAAGTTAGCCCGCTTTCCCAGCAGGTGCCTATCCTCAACTACGGGCACGATGGTCTGACATCCTGTCTACATCATGTCCCTACCCAGAGCTTTCCAGGTGGAATTCCTCACTGCTGGCTCTCCCAGGCTCAGTAAGGAAGAGGCCTCTACATGATGGGACCAGACGACCTAAGCAGGGTAGGATTCCATTAGCCCTGTGTCTCCCTCCCTCCCTCCCTGTCCTCTTCCCCCAGTCTGGGGCTGTGTCTAAAGAGTCCACTGAGCTTTGGCAGCTTGGGGTGGATTCTGGTAGTGTTAGGATTAGCTTTGTTCTTCCTTCAGTAACCAGCCTCTGTCTGTTCCTGTTTCCCTGCCCAACACTGCCCTGCCCCTAGTCAACTGGACTGGAAGCTGACATGCAGATTTAAAAAAAAAAAAAAAGTAAAGTGTGTTAGCCCCACGCCCTCAGCACCACAAGCTGCCATGCCTCCCGCCATGATGGGCTGCAGGCTCTCCAAGCAGATCCAAGTAAAGCCTGCTGCTCCTGAGCCGCTTCTGTCAGGTTCTGAGTGACAAGCAAAGTAAGAAAGTCCACCCGAAGCCGAGGGTGATTTTAAGGGTCAAGGGCAGTGGTGCGGAGTCCTGGTGGCACCATGGAAGCCAGGGGAGGAACAAGGGCCCACCTTATAAGCCTCATCAATGTTGGCATCCACGCAGTGCTGGATCATCTCCTTCACCAGCAGGGGGTGGGGCTCGTCACAGACCTGAGCAAACACCAGGAGAGGCAGCATGAGGCCCCACGGACTAGTCAGCACCAACTCTCCAACAACTGGAATGGGATTTCGGAACTCTTCTCACTTCCACAGACACCCCCAAATATGGCAGCTCCTGATGCCATGGTTACATTTCTCATGTCCGAAATGAACGAACCACAAAGCAGGCAAAGGCCCCAAAGACTCTCTTCCTGGGTGGTATTAATGGCATGGAGCTGTGCATAGTGACACACGCCTGTATCCTGGGTGCTGGGCACAGTGACACACGCCTGTATCCTGGGTGCTGTGCACAGTGACACACGCCTGTGTCCTAGGTGCTGTGCACAGTGACACACGCCTGTATCCTGGGTGCTGTGCACAGTGACACACGCCTGTATCCTGGGTGCTGTGCACAGTGACACACGCCTGTGTCCTGGGTGCTGTGCACAGTGACACACGCCTGTGTCCTGGGTGCTGTGCACAGTGACACACGCCTGTATCCTAGAACTCAGGAAGAGCCTAGTGGGGGTGGAACAAACTCTGTCTCAGAAAAAAAAAAAAATCAAACCAAAACAATACCCAAAACACCCCAGAGGATCTCAATTCAAGGCCAGTATGGGCTATATATTGAGACCTGTCTCTAAAATGAATAAGCTGGGGATGGTGGTGCATGCTTGTAATTCCCGATGTGGGAGGTGGAGGTTCAAGGCCAGCCTGGGTACAGAGCCTGGGCCACAGGCTCGGTCAAGAAAAGAGGAGAAGAGAGTGGGAGGGAATGCGAGGGGAAAGGGGGGACAGAAGACAGGGGAGGGGAGGAGAAACCAGAGCCCAGCCCACAGCACAGGGGAGCTCTGTGGGGAGGTGGTGAGGGAGGGAATCAAGGAAGACTGCTGAAGGCTAGCGTGGCTCTGCCCATCTGGCACCACTCACATGTGGACCCCCCCCCCAGACCCTCCCACTGGTCCCTTGGGCACGAGTGACAAAGCTGTGGTGGGAAGAATGAGCATGGCCATGTGGCCCACTGTTGGAGAGCAGCCCCAAGCCCTAATACCTTGAACACATTCTCGCTGTTGATATAGCCGAATCCCGAGAAGGTTGACTGCAGGTTGTTCAGTGCCTGGAGAGGACAAGGGATGCGTCAAGGGCCAATATGTCTTTCCCGGTCCTGCCTCTCAGAGAGCCAATGCCCACCCCCCAGACTTGGTACAACACTCACTCCTCAACCTCAGCTTGAAAGGGCAGTGTCCTGGCTGTTCTTACGCCAACTTGACACACAAACTAGAGTTATCTGAAAGGAGGGACCCTCAACTGCGATCCTTCATAAAATCCAGCTGTAAACCATTTTCTTAACTAGTGTTTGATGGGGAGGGCCCAGCCCATGCTGGTGGTCCTGGGCGCTGTAAGAAAGCAGGCTGAGAAGCCATGGGGAGCAAGCCAGTAAGCAGCACCCCTCTATGGACTCTTCATCAGCCTCTACACTGCTCGAGTTCCTGCCCTAACTTCCTTCGGTGAGGAACAGCAATATGGAAATATAAGCCAAATAAACCCTTTCCTCCCCAACTTGTTTTGGTCATGGTGTTTCAGCAGAGCAATAGAAACCCTAACTAAGACAGGCAGCAACAGTCACCCACCAACCTGGCGCATGTCCCCTTGGGCTGTGAAGATAATGGCTTCCAGGCCATCATCTGTGTATGGCACGTTTTCCTTCTCGATGACATTCATGAGCCTGGTGAGGACCTGAGCATCAGTGAGCTTGGTGTAGCGGAGCACTGCACAGCGTGACTGGATGGGTTCTGGACAGAGACAGCACAGTGAGCGCTCCCTGGCAAGGCCTGCTGCTTATCAGGACAGAGCTGACCAGAGCCAAGTGTCAAATTATCAGATAAGAAGCAAAGAGGCTGGATGGTTGGCCTTCCCAGTCCTGCCACCCTGCTCTGCGGAGGGTCTTCTCTGTGCATGTGCTGTGTGTGTGTTTCCTTACCCCCAAAAACGCCTGCCTTTAACTGTTGGAAAAAAATAAAAAAGGAAAGAGACCTGAGTTAGCAACACCCAGGTCCTGCTTCTGGAGAAAAGTAGGCCTCAGGACAGACACCACCACACATACAAGCCTCCCCTCCCCACAAGGAGTTAGGGGTCTCTGGAGTCACAGTGTGATGGGTGGGCCCTTGAGGAAAGATCAATTTGGTCAGACTGGAAGGGAACCCCAAGCTCTTTGACTCTCCGCAGGGGAACAAGGGACGAAGGTGTCTGCCTATAACCCCAACACTTGGGATAACATAGGGAGGTAGGGACAAGAGGATCAAGAGTTTAAGGTCAATCTTGGTCAATTTACAGTTAGCCTGTGCTACTTGAGACTCTGGCTAAACAACACAACAAACACAAACACCAACAATAAAAAAGGACAGGGGGTCTAGCAAGATGGCTTAGTGGATAAAGATGCTTGCCACTAAGACTGACAACCTGAGTTCAATTCTGGGACCCATAAAGATAATAACTGACTTTACAAATTATTCTCTGACATCTATACACAGACACACGGCCCCAACATGTACACACACACACATACACAAAATAATTCTAAAATATGGGCTGGGCGGTGGTGGCGCACGCCTTTAATCCCAGCACTCGGGAGGCAGAGGCAGGTGGATCTCTGTGAGTTCGAGACCAGCCTGGTCTACAAGAGCTAGTTCCAGGACAGGCTCCAAAACCACAGAGAAACCCTGTCTCGAAAAACCAAAATAAATAAATAAATAAATCTAAAATAAATGGTGTGTGTGTGGGGGGGGTCTTGTCACATTAAGCAATTCGCCCACCTAGGCAGTCGTGAGCTGGTGTGGAAAAGGAGTGTGGTAACAAACCTATGTATGACCACACACACACACACTTGGGTGCAGGAGGGGGAAGTGGGACAGAAAAGCCCCCACTGCTGGGGATCAGCGAAATAGAAATGAGACAGAGAGAACACACAATATGGTGACGGGAAGATGTAACACCAGCCTGACAGGGTAGACCAGTGCTGTGGGCAGTAGCTGGGCTAAAGGACAAAGGGCCCCATAAGGAGGCACTGTGGTGAGGTGGAGGCCTGGCCATACTGGGCAGCCACAAAGCCTAACGCAGAGTTGATGCCAGGGGCTACAGCACACGAAACAACCAGATGGGCTGAGTGGCTCAGGTCTGTCACCCCAACAACTCAGGATGCTGAGGCAGGAGAACTGTAGGTTTAAGGCATTCCTGGGCTATAAAGTGAGTTCAAGGCCAGTCCGGGTAAGGGAAGACCAGGTCTCAGAATAAAAAGTAAAGCAGGAAAAACTCTGTCTCTAAAAACAAACAAACAAACAAACAAACAGGGGGCTAGAGAGATGGCTCAGTGGTTAAGAGCATTGCCTGCTCTTCCAAAGGTCCTGAGTTCAATTCCCGGCAACCACATGGTGGCTCACAACCATCTGTAAAGAGGTCTGGTGCCCTCTTCCGGCCTGCAGGCATACACACAGACAGAATATTGTATACATAATAAATAAATAAAATAAAAAACAAACAAACAAACAAAAAAGAGTAAATAAGTAAAAAGGGAGTCTCGGGCTGGAGACATGGCTCAGAGCTTAAGAGCACTGGCTGCTCTTCCAGAGGTCCTGAGTTCAATTCCCAGCACCCACATGGTGGCTCACAGCCATCTATAGTGGGATCTGATGCCTCAGAACACTCACATACATAAACAAATCTTTTTTTTCTTCGAGACAGGATTTCTCTGTGTAGCTTTGGAGCCTATCCTGACACTGGCTCTGTAGAGCAGGCTGGCCTCGAACTCAGAGATCTGCCTGCCTCTGCCTCCTGAGTGCTGGGATTAAAGGCGTGTGTCATCACCACCTCGCAAAATAAATAATCTTAAAAAAAAAAAAAAAGACGCCTCACTGGATAATGACCCAGGTGGCGTGCTCACCTATGATTTTGTCTGAAGCATTACAAGCCAGAGCGAAGCGGGTCGTCTTGGAGTAGATTTCCATGGTCCTCCTGAGGGCCTGCTGAGCACCGTCTGTCATGCTGAGGCAAGAATAAGAGGGCAGTGGGTGCCAGGTCTGGAACATAGCCCACAATCCCTGTTGTTCGGGAGGCAGAAGCAGGACTGGAAAACTGAGGCCAGCCTGAGTTACTTGGGGACCCCCACCTCCAGCCCGCACCTGTCTGCTTCATCCAAAATGATGATCTTGTGTCGGCCCTTGGGAAGGGTGACCTTCTGCTGGGCGAACATTTTGATTTTATTCCTCACCACATCAATTCCCCTGAAAAACAGGAAGGCATGTGTCACAAATGGAGGAACTTTTTATTATCATGGGGAGGGGTTTGTGTGTGTGTGTGTGTGTGTGTGCACATGCGCACGCATACGGTCAGAAGACAACTTTATTTTTTTTTTTAAATATTTATTTATTTATTATGTATACAATATTCTGTCTGTGTGTATGTCTGCAGGCCAGAAGAGGGCACCAGACCTCATTACAGATGGATGTAAGCCACCACATGGTTGCTGGGAATTGAACTCAGAACCTTTGGAAGAGCAGGCAGTGCTCTTAACCACTGAGCCATCTCTCCAGCCCCCCAGAAGATAACTTTAAAGACCCAGTTCTCGCCTTCACTTTGAGTTATATGGGCAGAACCAGTGCTTTCAAGCTGGCACAGCGAGGGCATTTATCCACTGAGCCATCTCTGGTCCTATTTTATTTTTTTAACATGTCTGCGCAGATGCAGGGCATGTGCAGGCGGGTGCCTGTAGAGACCAGGTGTCAGAAGCCCTGGAGCTGGAGTTCTGAGCAGTTGTGAACTGACTGATGTGGGCGCAGGGAAACTCTGGGTGAGGGCAGCATGTTCCTTTGCTTTGTTTGGTTTCAAGTCAGGGTTTCTCTGTGTACCCTGGCTGTCCTGCAACTTGCTCTGTAGACCCGGCTGGCCTCAAACCAGAGATTTTCCTGCCTCTGCCTCCCCAGTGCTAGGATCAAAGGCATGCACCACACGTTCTTAACTACTGAGCAATCTCTCCAGTCCCATACTTTATTTTTTGAGAGAGGCTCTTTATATAGCACCTGAGCAGACTTGGTACTCAGAATCCACCTGCCTTACCCTTCCCCGTGCTGGGATTTCCCACAGACCACCCCAAGCTGACAAGGGGCTTGTAAATCCTCCGAGTAGCCCCAAGGGCTACAAGACCTTATTCTAACCTGGGAACATGAGCTAATAGTCAAATACACAGACCAGAAGGTGGGCTGTGGCTGCCGGGGCTGCAGAAGGGAAATGGGGAGGCGTATGAGGGCAGTTTCAGTTTCGCAGGGCCAGAAAGCTGTTGCACAAGAACACAAACATATTAACATGACCGAAGTTGACATTTGAAAGTGGTTTCAGGGCTGGTGAGATGGCACAATGGGTAAAGCCACCTGTTGGCATACCAGGCAAGACTGACAACCAGAGTTCAATCCCCAGAACCAACATAAAGGTAAAAGGAAAAAAATTCCACATGGTTATGCTCTGATCCGCACACGCGCGCGCGCGCACACACACACACACACACACACACACACACACACACACGACAGGGTTGGGGGGATGGTTTTTTTTTTTTTGGTTTTTTGAGACAGGGTTTCTCTGTGGCTTTGGAGCCTGTCCTGGCACTAGCTCTTTTAGACCAGGCTGGTCTCGAACTCACAGAGATCCGCCTGCCTCTGCCTCCCGAGTGCTGGGATTAAAGGCGTGCGCCACCATCGCCCGGCGGGGGGGATGGTTCTTACCGCCAACCCTCACAACCTGAGTTTGATCCTTAGGATCCACTTTGTGGAAGGAGAGAACCAGCTCCAGCAAGGTGTCCTCTGACCTCCACATGTACATCGTGGCATATGCCCCTCCCCACAATAAATAAGCAGCAATAAAAACAAATTTTAAAAAGTATTTTTTTAACATTTTCATCAAAACGAGGAACCCTGCAGGTGCTCCTCAGACAAGGCAATGAATGATTCCCGTTAAGCGTGGAGCCAGTGAAGCAAGCACCAGGCACGAGCTAGAACCAAGTGGAGCCTCTAGACTCAGGTACAGCAGGCCTCCACCTCCCCTCCCGCTGTACCTGTCATTTGATGCATTGAGCTCCAGAACTGCATCCTTCAGCGCCGGGCCCAGCAGTGCTCTCGCCAAGCAGAGGATGCTGGTCGTTTTGCCGGTTCCTGGGGGACCCTGTGGGTGAGAGCTCTCTGCTTCATGCAGGGAAAACCCAGAGGCTGGAGAGATGCCTCAGCAGTTAAGAGCACTGGCTTCCATTCCCAATGCCCCAAACGGGCTGTAACTCCAGTTCCAAAGGATATATTATCACTACTCCCACCTCCCAGGGAACCAGACATACCCATGGTGTATAAACACAGATGCAGGCAAAACACCCATACACATAAAAATTAACTGATTAATTAAAGGGTTCCCAGGTAGATCTTGCTGCTCCCACAATTCCCACTGTTGGCACTTGCTCCCCTGATTCTCCAACAAGTCAACCAGGGACATGTGGGCCTCCCTGAGGAGGGAGTGGACATGCAAGATGCCCAGGGGACCAGGCCTAGGTACTCACAGCGATGATGATATTGGGCACATTGCCTTCTTTCGCAAAGACCTAGGTAAAAGAGGTTCATTAAGTTAAGTGTGGCTACGTGCCTCTGATCTCAGCACCAGGAAGGCAGAGCAAATTTTTTTTATTATTTATTTATTTATTATGTATACAATATTCTGTCTGTGTATATGCCTGAAGGTCAGAAGAGGGCGCCAGACCTCTTTACATATGGTTGTGAGCCACCATATGGTTGCTGGGAATTGAACTCAGGACCTTTGGAAGAGCAGGCAATGCTCTTAACCACTTAGCCATCTCTCCAGCCCCCCCAATTTTTTTTTTTTTTTTGGTTTGTTTGAGACAAGGTTTCTGTGTAGCTTTGGTGCCTGTCCAAGGTTGAGCAAGTTTAAACCAGCTTAAGCTACATATCAAAGCTCTGTCTTGAAGACAAATAAATAGCCAGGTGTGGTGGCACACTTGTTTAATCCCAGCATTTGGGAGGCAGAGGCAGGCGGATCTCTGTGAGTTAGAAGCAAGCCTGGTCTACAGAGAAAGTTTCAGGACAGTCAGGGCTACATAACGGGTAGTATGCTCAAAAAAAATCACACAAAAGACAGTAACAAAACCCCAAACCAACAACAATGCAAGAAAGCACACTGGCTCAGCAGATAAGGTGCCTACAAAGGCTAACAAGCTGTCTGTCATCCTTCATCAGGCTCACAGGGTGGCATCCTCCCTCTTGATGTAAGTTCTGCTCACCATGTACTTTGTCACCCCAGCAAGAAATAGGTGATGTCACCCTCCTTCCCCGTCTCGGCCATCTTTATCCAGTCACCACTAGCTAGTCAGATCCACACGTGATGCTGGAAGCGGTTAGAGTCCTTACCTCCAGCCTGCTCACTGTGTCTTCATTGCCGACTATTTCATTCAGCTTTATTGGTCTGTATTTTTCAACCCTGTTTTAGGAAAAAGCAAATATTGTCATGGTTATCCTCTCAGTAACTAGAGGATCGGACAGGAAAGGGCAACCCTGAAAATTCTGGCAGGGTGGGACCGTGTTACCTGTCATGCCAACCCAGGAAGGCCATGCCAGGAGGACCCCCGAGATCCAGGCCAGCCTCTACCACATACACAAACTGCCTCAAAAATGAAGAACTAAGAAGCCAACAAGATGGCTCAGTGTATAAAGGTAGTCACAGGAAAGCTAGTCAGCCTTAATTTAAGACCCAGAACCTGGTGGAGGAAGAGAAGTGAGGCCCACGTGCACCGTGGGACTGTTGCTGGCACATACAGGCACGAAATAAACAAACAACCAAGGGCTGGAGAGCCGGCTCAGTGGATGAGAGCACTGAGTGCTCTTCCAGAGGACCCAGGTTCAATTCCCAGCACCCACACAGCCGCTAACAACTGTAATTCCAATTCCAGGGACCTGACACCTTCGCACAAACATATCAGGCAGGCAAAACACCAACAACAAAAAATTAAAAAACCTTCCAGGCATGGTGGCAGATACCTGAAATCCCAGGTATGTTGGGGGTGGAAGCAGAGAGAGACTTTCAATAAGTTAAATAGAATGTGCTAGAGAAATGACTCAGTGGTTAGGGGCACTTGCTGATACAGAAGACCTGAGTTTGACTTCTAGCATCCACACAGTGGCTCACAACCTCCTGGAACTGTAATCATAAGGGACGCAATGCCCTCTCCTGGCGTCTTCACGTACTGCACACACACAATGCCCAGACAGACACAGACAACACTCACACACAAAAAATAAAATGAATCCCAAAGGGGAGGGGGGAAGTCAGGCAATGGTGGTACACCTCTGTGAGTTCAGGAGAGCCAGGGATATACAGAGAAACCCTGTCTCAAAAAACCAAAACAAAACAAAAACCCCCAAAACAAGACCAAAAAAGAAGCCAACAAGATGGCTCAGTGGTAAAGGTGCTTGCTGATGGGTCTGACCACCTGAGTTCAATCCCTGGGACGCACATGGTAGAAGAGAATCTTAGAAGTTGGTCTCTGGCCGGGCGGTGGTGGCGCACGCCTTTAATCCCAGCACTCGGGAGGCCGAGGCAGGCGGATCTCTGTGAGTTCGAGACCAGCCTGGTCTACAAGAGCTAGTTCCAGGACAGGCTCCAAAACCACAGAGAACCCTGACTCGAAAAACCAAAAAAAAAAAAAAAAAAAGTTGGTCTCTGACCTCCACACAGGTGGTATAGCAGGTGCAAGACCCGCCCCCCCCATCCTCTCAATAAAGAAATGAAAAGAAAAAGCTTTAAACAAAACAAAGATAGCAAGAGACCCTCTGATATGAACTGGCTCCTCGCCTGTCCACCCCACAGCAGAGGAACCTCACGGTAAGCTGTGGTTTCCGTCTAGCCAGCTCTGCTGCACACCACTTGCAGACACTGCCGAGTGCACAGCGATGGACCCACGCACACCCACTTCCGTCACAGCAATGATGTAAGTGCTGCATCCCCAGGTCTCTGCTGTGCCGGGCAGACTGCGCTGACCCTTGGTTTGCTATCGTTCCAGCTGGCCTACTCTTGCCGCCCTCAAGCAGCAACTGGTGGTTTAGGGCCGTGACTGGGAAGTCTCAGTGGACAGTTGGCCCCTCTCCCCCCACCCTCCCACCCCCGAGATAGGGTTTCTCTGTGTAGCCTTGGCTGTCCTGGAACTCACTCTGTAGACCAGGCTGGCCTCGAACTCAGAGATCCACCTGCTTCTGCCTCCGGAGTACTGGGATTAAAGGCATGTGCCACCGCAGCCTGGCCATGTGTGAACAGTTCTTAAGCCATTCTGAAATGGCACTTGAACACCTCATTAAAATATTTTTCCTTTGGAGCTGGAGAAATGGCTTAGTGGTTAAAGCACCAGCTGCTCTTCCAGAGGACCCAGGTTCAATTCCTAGCACCCACATGCAACTCACAATCATCTGTGACTTCAGTTCCCAGGGTTCTAACTCCCTCTCCTCAACCTCTGAGGGCACTGCATACGCCCACAGACATAAAATAATCTTCCCTGTAATCCTCCCTAGTCCTAGGATCACAGGCTTCACCACATCCAGTTTATGAGGTGCTGGGGATGGAAATGTGGGTTTTCTGAATGGCAGATAAGCGTCCTATCAACTGGGCCACATCTCCAGATGGCCTAAAACTCATGACCCTCCTATCACAGCCTCCTGACCGCTAAGTTCTGCCTTTTAAATAAACGAGCAATGCTGAGAGAAAATGACCTCTTCCAGCTCTGAGCACAGATATGGCAGATTTACAATGATCTGACCATCGACGTTTCCTGTGCTCTTTATTATATTCTGTTGATCTCGTTTCTGTTTTCAGAGACAGGGTTTCACCAGGTAGTCCTTGCCAGACTGGAACTCCCTTTGTAGACCGGGCTGGCCTTGAACTCAGAGATCCGTCAACTTCAGCCTCCGGAGTGCTTTCTGTTGTTTTAAGCACACACACATACACACGTTTAAATTGTGTGTGCAATAGCACAGGTGTCGGGGTCAGAGAGCAACTTGGGAGTCAGTTCTCTCCTTCCAACCTGTAGAGTCCAGGGACTAAACTCAGGTTGTCAGCCTTGGCTATAAGCACCCTCATCATGAGCCATCTCATCAGGACTTGTTTTTGGAGACAAGGACTATCCTGTAGCCCAGGCTGGCCTCATATTCACTGTGTAACTGACAGTGACCTAACAGATGTATGCTACTCCATTTGGACACTGATTTCCCTTTTACTTATTACTGTGGCAACCGGACAATGCTAAATTACATGCAATATGCGCCTTTTTTCCTTTTTCTTTTGAGTGCTGGAGATAGAACTCTAGGCCCTGAGAATGCCAGGCAAGAATTCTGCCACCGAGCCACATTTCCAGCTTTTGTAATATTTTCCCTAGTATTATTCTAGATCAATGGTTTTCAACCTGTAGGTCATGACCTCTTGGGGACTGTCAAGCGACCCTTTCACAGGGGCCACCTAAGACCATTGGAAAACAGATATTTACATTACAATTCGGAACAGTAGCAAAATTACAGTTATGAAGTAGCAATGAAAATAATGTTATGATGGGGGGGTCACCACAGCATGAGGAACTGTATTCAAAGGCCGCAGCATTGGGAAGGTGAAGAACCACTACATAGTCCAGATACTTCAGAGAGCTAAGGGATCACTCTGCTGTCTGGTGCCAGAGACCCTACATTTGATAAAGGAAAGCAAGTGCCAGTGGTGCCATAACAGTATGTGCTTTTGTACAAATGTCTGCAATCAATTTTCATCCAAGAAAAAAACAACGAACTCAAAAAACTGGGAGTGGTGGTGGCACAACACCTACAGCCTTGGTTGGCACTTAGGTGGAAGAGATGGTCGGTTCAGAATTTAAGGTCATTCTTATGTACGAAGTTCAAAACTAGCTTAGGGTAGTGAGACCTATCTTAAAAAAAATAAGGTGGAGTTGGTATTTTTTTAGGTGATATTTTAAACAAACAATAAAAAAACACACGATGCACTATTAGTCAGTCCAAGCATCACCACTTAGGTGAGCTCTGAGTCATACATCCCTCAATTTCAATAAATTAAAAACCTCTGCATTTGCCTGGTAGCTCACATCTGTCATTCCAGCACTTGGGAAACTGAGGCAGGAGGACTGCTGAAAGTTCAAGAACAGCTTGGGCTGCCCAGCGGAACTCAGGGCTGAGAATGGGACCGAGTGCATGCTTAGCATCCACGAGATCCTGTGTTCCATCCCCAGCACGCCTGTCATCCCACGGGGGCAGAAAGAGCAGCAATTCAAAATCATCCCGTGCTACGCAGTAGGTTAGAGCCCAGCCTGAGTCACACAAGACCCTGACGCAAGGGAAAAAAAGAGAAAAAAAAATCCAGTTTCAAAAAGAGAAAGAAAAAGAAAATCTGAACTCCCGGGGTCGCAGCTTCGGTGCTCCCCCCCCCCAAAAAACACAGCCTGCAGCCGGGTCCCGGGAGCTCGGCCCGCCCTCACTCGCCATCACCTCTCCGCGCGCGTTACTACGGCCGCGCGCTCACCACGGCAGTTCGTAGTGGCCGGCGCCGCCCGCGGTCTTGCTGGGGACAGCCGAGGGCTCCGGCGCCCCACTCTCGGCCGCGCCACAACAGCTCTCTTGCACCTCCATTCCTACGCCGGCTCTTCCCGCCACCCGAGGCTCCGCCCCGTGACGTTTTCACGGAAGTCTCGGCCCCGGTTTCCGGGCAACACTGGGAGGGGAGCGGAAGTGGGCGTGGGAGGCGGTCTCTTTCCGCGCCTGCGCAAAGAGTGCAGCGTAGCCAGTAGCCACGCACTGACCGCTAGAGGCCGCTGTGGTTGCAGGAGACCGCGTTTGAGGGGCGAGGAAGGAGAGAAGGGTGAGATCAAGGAGAACGTCTCTAGGAAAGGACGTTTGTGTCATCTTATCATATTTTATTTAATTGTATTCTACTTCATTTTGTTTCGTTTTATTTTCACTTATTTGGTTTCTTGAGACTGAATATTATCGCTCAGCAGCCCAGCCTGACCTCTGATTAGCGGCCATCCTCCTGCCTCAGCTTTCCTGGTGGAAGGATTACTTTTTAAAGTATTATTTCAGACATGCGAGTGTTTTGCTTGCATGCACATATATGCAGCACATGCATGCCTTGTATGGGTACAGAGGAGGGTGTTGGGTCCGCTGGAGCTGGAGTTGGACTCTTTTGAGTTGTCATGTAGGTCCTGGGAATCAAATCCAGGTCCTCTGCAAGAATCTCTAGTTCTCTTTTTGTTTTGTTTTGTTGATACACGGTTTTCCTGTGTACTCCGGTTGGCCTCCGACTCTCAGAGCCCCGTCTGCCTCTGTCTCCTGAGTACTGGGATTAAAGGCGTGCGCCACCCCTGCAGCATTGAGCCTCTAGAACCTTTAACAGCCTGCCAGGCATCTCTTTAGCACTGCCTCTCTTGGGGGAATGGGATTGCCTGTATTTTATTTCTCTTGCTTTTTCTAGACAGGCTCTTGTCTTATAGTTCAGACTGGCCTTGACTGGCCTCCTCAGGGCCGAGATTACATATTTTATTTATTCACCTATTTATTTATTTGGTTTCTGAGAAAAGTCTGCTCTGTGGTCCAGGCTGACCTCGAACTCTCAGCCGTCCTCCTGCGTCAGCCTCCTCATTGCTGAGATTAAAGACCTGTGCCTCGGCACTGGCATCGTCAATGCAGTGCATAAAACCCTGCTTCAAAATAAAAGTCACGTAGAGGCCTGAGGCTGGCGTGATGGCCCACACCTGGAATTCTTCACTCAGAAGGCTGCAGTGCGGACGGGTGCAGAGAGGACAGAATGATTTAGATGGCGAGTGCCAGGCCAGTCTGGCACAAAATAAGATGTCTCAACAACAGAAGGGCTTAGGGCTCAAGCTACAGAGTGCTTGTCTCTGTACACACAAAGCTCTAGGTTCAAGCCACAGTGTCACTAAGTAAACTTAAAAAATGAAAAATTGGGGGCTGGAGAGATGGCTCAGAGGTTAAGAGCATTGCCTGCTCTTCCAAAGGTCCTGAGTTCAATTCCCAGCAACCACATGGTGGTTCACATCCATCTGTAATGAGGTCTGGTGCCCTCTTCTGGCCTGCAGGCATACATGTACACAGACTATTGTATATATAATAAATAAATAAATATTTTTTTAAAAATGAAAAATTATGCTGGGCCGTGGTGGCGCATGCCTTTACTCCCAGCACTCGGGAGGCAGACGTAGGCGGGCCTCTGTGAGTTCGAGGCCAGCCTGGTCTATGAAGCAAGTTCTAGGACAGCCAGGATTGTTATACAGAGAAACCTTGTCTCAAAAAAGCAAAAAATTAAAAACTGAAGGTCTTGGAAGACAGCTCAGTGGGTCAAGTGCTTACAACGCAGCCACAGACCTGAGTTAGGATTTTCCACATCCCAGGTAAAGGCCAAGCACAGTGGTACACATCAATAACCCCAATGCTGAGGAGACAGAGACAGGAGGATTCATGAGGCTCCTTGGCCAGCCAGTGTGACTGAACTTGTGAGCTCCAGGTTCGGTGAGAAACCCTCTCTCAAAAGAGTAAGGTGGATGGCAGGTGTGGCAAGGGAGGGTAGAACTCTGTGATCTCAGAGTCAGCCTCATCCATGTAGCAGGCTCAGAGCCAATCAAGGTGGCACAGTGAGACATCATCTCAGACAAACAAAGTAAAACATAAGGTGGAGGAGCTACAGATGTAGCGATGTTTTGTTTCTGTTTAACATATAAAGCTTGCCTAAAGATCAGAGTATGAGCTAAGGCACTTGAGGCCAGGCAGTGGTAGCACACACCTTTAACCCCAGCACTCGGGAGACAGAGGCAGATGGATCTCTGTGAGTTCAAGGCCACCCTGGGCTATGCAAAATTGGTCCAGTCTAAAAGAGAAACAGAGCTCACACAAAGGTGGTCCCAGCACATGGGATCCCATGCCTTTAATCCCAGCACTAAGGAGATAGAGACAGGAGTGATGACTGGGCGGAGAGAGGAATATAAGGCAGGAGGAGACAGGAGCTTAGGATAGTCTAAGCAGCGTGCAGTCTGAGGACAGGATCGCCCCTTTGGTCTGAGCATTGGTAGAGGTAAGAACTCTAGTGGCTGGTGACTCTGCTTCTCTGATCCTTCAGCTTTCAGCCCCTGACAGCTGACTTAATTATTTATTAAGAATAATTAGAATTTGTGCTACATACAGAGATGGATCAGTGCTTAAGAATATATATTGCTTATGGCTGGAGAGATGGCTCAGTGGTTAAAAGCACTGGTTGCTCTTCCAAAGGACCCGGGTTCAACAACTGCGTGTAGCTCCAGCTCCAGGGGATTCGACACCCTTACACCTACATACATGCAGACTGAACACCAATGTACATAAAGTAAAAATAAATAAATCATTTAAAAGAAAAAAAGAGCCGGGAAGTGCTGGCACACATTTAATCCCAGGACTTGGGAAGTAGAGGCAGGCGGATCTCTGTGGGACCAGCCTGGTCTACAGAGCGAGTTCCAGGACAGCCAAGGATACATAGAGAAACCCTGTCTTGAAAAACAACAAAAACAACTGCCTGGAACTAGTTCCTCTGTCTCTGTGGGTAACCAGACCCTTGTAAACACACACCCATGATGGGATAATAGATTTGTAATTGTGAGTTACTGTCTTTAGACAAATATATTGGTATAGATTCTTGTATATTGATACAAAGTTAAATTATATTGACTATTGTACGCATGCATGTTTCTACCTCTGTTTAAAACATTTTTTATGTATTGACATATATTGTATTGATATATATATATATATATTGTATATATTTACCATATTGCAGTGTACATTTCTACCTCTGATTAAGATACTTATATAATATTTGTGTATTGATATGTATTTACCTACTGCAATGTATATTTGTACATTGTTTATATTTGGAGGTCATTGTCCTCATTTGTTTCACAGTCGTTTATTGTCTTAGTCTTTAAGTTAGATAGATATTGAGAATTATATAGACTAATAGTCATCTAAGTTTGTCATTTATAATAGACTAATCAGGTTCTTTTGATATATAGAGATTATACTCAGTATAGATAGATAATCTTCAACTTCTTCAAAGAGCTGTAGAAAATGGCCTTTAATCTAACTCAGAGTTTTGTGGTAGTGAGACACAATTGCTCCTGGCAACACCACTCTATTCCCGAGAGAATGTTGAGCACCAAAGACACTCCACCTGGAGCCTTCTTTTTGGCAGAACTGGCCTTGGGGCAAAGAAATGCCCATACCTCAACCACTGACAGAGATACAGAGCGTGCATCAATGGATAAAACAGGGCTGTCATATCCTGCCAAGACAGGGTAAGATAGTTTTGAAAAGTTGCTTGCCTTTGAAAATGGTGTGTCAGTTATGTTAGGCCTTAGCCAATGTTGGTTGCTTCAACGCTGCTAACGTGATTTTGGGTGATTGCCCAGGTAGCCAGTTGTCTCTGTGATTTGTTGCATGTTTTGGAAGTTGTTTTACTGAACTTCCTAATTACCCAGGTAACATTATTTCCCTTCTCAGATCTTTGATGGGGTTGAAGACTATATAAATGTAGTTACTTTCTCTCATGACTTGGCCAAGTTATTTATTATACAAGACCTAAGCTAGTTAGAATAGGATATTTGTACTTATTGTATATAATTTCATAGTAGGTTTAGAACTCTCTTATTTAAACAAAAAGGGGAGGTGTTGCGGGAGGTCCTCCCACTCCTCCAGCCTATCACCGCTGAGGTACCAGCCTATTGGGGCGTGGTTTCTCTCCCTTTAAAAAAGCGGCCACTTCCCTCTCCTCTCTCTCTTCACTTCCTGCTCCGCCTGCGACTAGACTCCTTTCCTGGTTGCGTAGAGGGCTGTTGCCTGGGACAGTGATCTGCAAGTTTTTTCCCCTTTAAATAAATACCACCCTAATAATCATAACCCCAAATTGGTGTGGCATTGTTTGTGACTTACGCCTTCACACCCACACTCATATTAAATAAAGAACTTTTATTTATATGTACATGTCTGTGCAGGTGTCCACAGAGGCAGGAACACAGCATTGGACACCCTGTAGCTAGAGTTCCAGGCAGTTGTGAGCAGGCCAGTGTGGGTGCTGGGACCTGACCTTAGGTCCTCGGGAAGGAAAGCTACTGTCTTCACCACTGAGCCATCTCTTCAGCCCAATAATGATAAATTTTTAGTTTGGGCCCAGGAGCTCACTGTGTAGCTCCAGCTGGCTGTGAACTCACATTGATCAATTGTCCTGCCTCTTGATGCTGGAATGAAAAGCCACCACACCCCCCTCTCGTAAGTTTTTTTCTTTTTTCAAAAGAGGGTCAGCTTATGTAGACCAGGATGGCCTCGAAATCATAGAGATCCACCTACGTCTGCCTCCCAAGTCCTGGGATTAAAGGCGTGCACCACCACCGCCCAGCCCCATAAATTTTTTTTTTAATTAAAAAAATGAAGTGGAGAGAAACTGAGAAATACATCTTCACATCAGCCTCTGGCTTCCACAACAGCCTGCCTAGGTGAGTGGACCTGCGCACATGTGTGTATATAACATACAAATTAAGTTTTATTTTACAAATTAAGTTTTAAATAAATAAATAGAAACTGAACAAGTAGGTATTTTCCAGGTCTGGAGAGTGGCTCAGTGGTTGG